GTCGATTTGTATGGCAGTAAATTTACGAATATAGACCATCTCTTGCCTTCAAGGGTTATGTTCGAAAATAAGACTTTTAGGAAGTACTGGCTGTTAGGCCCGCTGATGGTCAGGTAGATAAGTAATTCATCCGAATAACTCTTGCTTGGCAATTGTATCATAATGTATATTCAATACTTTCACTATTCCTCCGTCTTTTCCGTACACCTCATTTCAGTTACTTACGACTTGTACACCCTGGAGGCATACTTGTTCGTTATAGTCTGAGTCTTCATGCCCCCCTTTTGGGGATGCAGTGATTGTGCGCGGGTTCTCTCCTCCTCGTTGGTCGGTCGTTCGCCGTCTTCCTTCCCGAACACTGTGATCACTAACTCCCTAAATACCGAGGAAACTTCCCTCGGCCGTAGAATACCGAGGCAAGGAAAGTTTCTCCGGCAAAGTTTTCTCAGCAATTTTCTCGGCATAAAAAATTTCCCCCGCCCCAATTGATCCAAATAGGACGCTTTATTATGTGGTCCTTTACTAACTGCATAACAGTCTGGTATTACAGTTATTAGGACCGTAACATTTGTACTGTTTTCCAAACGCTTGTATAAGTACAGTCTATTTACTAAAGAACTTACATCGGAGGTCGGTAGGTTGAAGCAAAAGCGCAATACCTGAGTAAAAGGTATGCTTTTTGTGCAACAGATGGACAGGACATGGTGTCAACAGAGATATCGTTAGAAAGCTGTGTCTCTCCTGCACAATCTCATCGGATCCAAATATGGTCATTTCCTTTGTATCAGCAACCAATCGTGAAAGCACAAAGGGGTCTTAAACCAAGAAACGAAATCTCATTGGCTGGTGTCAATTTCAGACAACGTGATTCGTTCAGATGCGTCACGTGGTGTGCTAAAACACTTCCTGGTTAGCTTTCCGCTAGAAATGTAAATCTCAAAATGGCAAAAGAACGGCGAAAAAAAAAAGTTTACAGAGAAGATGACAACAATTATCCCTTGCACGAAGCAAGATTATACAAAAAACAAATGACCCCGAACATGAAATACCTTCACGGAGTGCGTCGAGGCGCAAGCTGTCATCCAAAGAACAGGAGGGTTTAGCTAGCGCCTCACTGCAATCTTTAAAGGTCGTTTTCTCAAAATGAGTTTTTTCTCCTACTCTGAGTTCAAAATTTCAACTTCAGTAGCACGTAGACACACCAAACCTTCCAGTTATATTCCTATCAATATTATGAAGGCTTTTACAGAAGGGTTTGTTCATATATCATTCATAGCCTGAATTATACAACATTGTATACCTAAAAACATGGCAAAAATTGATATTTTAGGGCTGTTGACAGTATCTTCTGATTTATGGAGTGATAAAAAGAGATATCCAAAATCCCTTCTGTAAAAGCCTTAGATACTAATATGACTACAAAATAAAACAAGAATTTTGAACCTGGCTTTATCCAAAGTTCAGATTTCGATTCCTGAAATGTGTTAAAATATGCACATATTTGATGAGATAATGGCTAATTTGCATATTTAAACATGCTATTTCAGAAAACTTGTAATACAAAAGACAATTGCCTTATTGTAAGTAATTAACTGGAGAAATGTCTAGCTGATACCTTTAAGTTAAAAAAATTACCCTATTCACCTGGGGTGTCTCGCCTTAAGCTGAAGACAGGAGCGGTGTAGCCAGCTAGTGATCAGCACTAAAACTGAGGTCAGTTTATCAGCAGCCTTTTGCTTTGTATTGGCATGCACATATATCACAGTGTCATCGGCATATACGACTTCTGGCCAATCAAAATCAAGATAACGGCGTGGTGTTGTTGCAGGAAGTAGGCCTACATCTCTATATACATCGGTACAACGATACGAAATAAGACCCCATGGTTTGATGATTGATAGGTGTGTGGGCTGTCTTTCATTCTGACACACAGAACAATGGGGGCTATCCACATCCACCCTTATCCACAATTCAAAGTAATTCACACAGCCTCTTCCCTCGTCTCTCTGTGAGGAGCAGCAGGTTCAGCTTTCAGAACAAAGTAACAAAAAACTAAAATGGCATTCATTTTTTTAAATGTGTAGTAATAGATGTATTTATTTTTCTTCTCAAGAGAGTACCAGAATGTGTATTTTATGTTAGTATTTCAAAAAATCTCCTGGGGGAGAATCCCCCAGACCCCCCTGCAGGGCTTGGGTTTTCAGCATGTCAACTCTTTCACCTGTTGGGAAATTGCAGGATTGGCTCTAGGTCGCCCTTTTTATTTACTACAAGACAAATGTGCCTTTTTATTTCATACAGTTCAATTTGGATTGAGACAGGGAAATAATCTAAACCTCACGCGTGGCGTTTCACTGTCAAGGGGGGCGATACAGCGTGTATGTAATTACATTGCAAATACTGACTTGAGCCCCACCACTGTATGGGTTAGCCCTACCATAGATTACCCAACAAAAATACTCTGGAGCCGCCAATGCCTCCAAACTCCACTAAATAAACCCATAAGTCAACCTGGAGCTAACAGCTGTCACATCTTTGTTCTTAAAGCTTAACTGAACATTCTTCTGATGATGGCTTTACTGTGTTATTTCTACTGAACATGTTTGTCTTCAAAGGCAACAGTTACCTTTCATTGCTGCACAAATCAGAGGTTATCACTGTTCTTACCAACAAAAACTCTTCACAGAGCTCACAAAATAAAGACTTTAGGAAATCCTCGTCTTTAACTTTGAAGTATGTGAAAAACTATAGGACTGGGTGTTTACCTGAATACTGCCCAAATGGTTTCAGAAGAATATTGTATATATTCTCAGATCAAATCAATCCAGATACTAATTGGTTAGTAAGCTTAAGAATAAATATTATTTGGCAAAGCATTGAAAATGGAACAATACATTTCAAAAAAAAAAGTTAACGTATCCCTGAAACTCAGGTATCTACAGCAAAACTCAGGAATCCTATTGGCACCAGGATCAGACTTTTTCAAACAATATCCAGCCCTCTGAGCAACGTAACCACTACATGCTGGCTCAAACTCTCCAACTTCATTCCAAAAGTCATGTTCATTATGGTCGCTGGTTCAGCCTCCTCCAACGCGTGCCTCCTGATTAGTGCTGTTGCTCACTAAACTTTGCAGGTCTCCCTTGAAAAAGAGATCTATGATCTCAATGGGACCAATCTGGTTAAATAAAGGTTTGAAATGAAATGAAATGAAAAAACCTTAGCTTCACCACTTCACAGGTTCTCCAAAAAATGGATATAAACGAAAATAAAATGAAATATATTTTCTTAAGGAGCAGCTTGTTTCAGGGTTTTTTCAGGTCTGACAATTCAATAAAATTATGCTTTGGACATAGAGATTCAGGCCCTGTTGCAAAAACAGGCTGTGTCTGTTGTGCACTTTCAGGAGAGAGAAAAGGGGCTTTACTCCATGTACTTCCTGGTTCCCAAGAAGAGAGGAATATTCAGACCCATTCTGGATCTTTGCATCCTGAATCACCAATTACTGGAACTAGGGCAGCCGGGCGATTGGTTCACAACCATCGACCTGCAGGACGCTTACTTTCATGTCGAAAATTGCTCCAAAGCACAGAAAGTATTTGCGTTTTGCCTTCCAGGGGGTAGCCTACGAGTACAACAGACTACCGTTTGGCTACTCCCTATCCCCACGCACGTTCAGCAAATGTGTGGCCACAGCGTTTCAGACCAAACCCCTTCTTTGTTCCCAAGAACCTAAGGAGTTCGTTCAGGTCAAGGGCTATACAGTTAAACGGCTTTATTCTTCCACCCCATATTGGGGACTGGGAGGCTAAATTGCACCTCCTCTGCCCAGTGCGTGCGCTCGCATGTTATGTAGGGCAGACAACTTCCATTAGGCGCACTGAACAGCTGTTTGTGTGCTTTGGGATGGTGTGGCCGGTAAAGCTCTGTCCAAGAAACGCCTGACAGGATGGCTCTGCGAGTGCATTTCACATGCCTATGGACAGGCGGGGAGAGCCTTCTCCACTGGAGTCTATGTACACTCTACACGTGGTATGGCTGTATCAACAGACTTGTTCGACGACGTGAGTGTGGAGGGCATATGCACGGCGGTATCTTGGTCCACGCCAGGCCCCGTCATAAGGTTTTATTTTTTGGACATGTCTGGCTCCTTTTCATGGTCTGTGCTTGCTGGGGCAACACAGGACTGGTGAGGGAGGGGGGCTTTGGGTCAGTAGAAGGGATGGGAATTTGAAAACAAAAGTATATTCGAATATTCGAACCCCAAAAAAACGGTTAACTGAAATGTACATGCCAAGGCACACA